TCAAAAGAAAAGGCAAAAAAGTATTTTTGAAGTGTGTATATTTTTAACAATTCCTAGCTGAGTGCTTTCGGCTTTACAAAGCCATCATCGGAGCTATGCTACAATAAAATGTTTTTATAAGTAAATAATTGATGAAGATTTGAATTTTTTACTTACGTCAATTTATAAATACCACTACAATGGAGAGATCTCATTTCCTTATTTGTTGAAATTTTGATTTTTTTTTAATTAGTTGTTAAAAATTTTTAAAAAAACAAACAAAAAACCGACACTGGACTTCACAGACACATTAAAAAATTTTTGTTATGGTACGGGTGTAAGAACCCAACCATTGTTTGCTGTGAGGAGGTAGACAGAATAGAACTAATGAAATTAAATGTCGGTCCCTTTAAACGATTTTTCAAAAGTGACAGTTGACAAATGTCATGTATAGGAAATAGAGATTGTTTTAAATTCTTACAAAATAATTTAATAGTTAATTAATTAATTTTTAGAAAGTCTTTGATGACTACTACTAGTAATTCCAAACTATTAAATAATTTTGTAAGAATTTAAAACAACCTCTATTTCCTATACATGACATTTGTCAACTGTCACTTTTGAAAAATCGTTTAAAGGGACCGACATTTGATTTCATTAGTTCTATTCTGTCTACCTCCTCACAGCAAACAATGGTCGGGTTCTCACACCCGTACCATGACAAAAAATTTTTAATGTGTCTGTGAAGTCCAGTGTCGGTTTTTTGTTTGTTTTTTTTTAAGAATTTTTAACAGCTAATTAAAAAAAATCAAAATTTCAACAAATAAGGAAATGAGATCTCTCCATTGTAGTGGTATTTATAAATTGACAGTAAAAAATTAAAATCTTCACTAATTAGTTACTTATAAAAACATTTTATTGTAGCATAGCTCCGATGATGGCTTTGTAAAGCCGAAAGCGCTCAGCTAGGAATTATTTAAAATATACACACTTCAATAATACTTTTTTGCCTTTTCTTCTGACTCTTCTATTTGTGTATATATTAATCTGCTTGAATAAAAAACCTCATGGTTATTTCGCTCACACAGTGTAAGCTTGAGTAAGTCTTTACCCGAAACAGAGAGGTATATTCTATTAGTGGAATAAAAATGTTTAAATTTCCACCACTACTGAATATTCCTGCATCCAATCCTTCCTCAGTTATATACCTGTCTCTATACCAAGTATAACTCTTCAGTATGGATTGAACGTTTCCTCTAACCTATCATAGAAAAAAAATTTACCCACTTTTTATTCTAAATAATTTATACAAATATTTCTTACAAAAATCTTAATCTTTACTACTTATCGCTAGCTAAAATCGCTTACAAATAAATTTTTCCGCAAATCGCCAGGAAATTTTGACATTCCTGTCAAAATTTCTTGAAGAAAAAGTCAGGACTTCCTTACTGTAAGGAAATGTCATTTCCTTACTGTAAGGAAATGATATTTCCGTACAGTTGTTAGTGTTTTACATAAATGATAGAAAACACATTGCTTATAAGGAATTAATTTATATTTTGAAAACATCAATTCATTGCTGAATACATTGTTAAGATCCATTTGTTATATTTACAGTAATTTGACAATTAGTACAATTATTGAACATTGGAGGAACACTCTTAGAACTATGAGAAACATTTTGGACAACATGCAGGGTGGAAGTGTCATTTTGTTGAATATTTTGTACTGTGAAAATTTTATTAGCCACCTCAACCTTATTGTTAAGCGATTCTTCGATATATCCTTCAGCAACGTTTGATGACTTCCATCCGCCATGCCTCTTTAAACTAGTTATGTCGGCTCCAGAGTCAACCAATATTGTTGCAGAAGACCGACGAAAGCAGTGACCAGTATATTCTGTCGGATTTACCAAGTTCAAATAAGTAGCAATTATTTTGGGCATTTTTCTAAATTGATGAATTCCTACCACTTGTCTACAACCCTTTCCGCTTTGATATTTAAAGAAAAATCGGTCACTGTTCATATTTTCTGGTCTTAACGAAACATACTTTCGATAAACATTCAAGTAGATCTGATTAATTACAAATGATCTTGGTTTGTTGGTTTTCGAATCAGGTATGCTGATTAAAAGCTTAGATTATAGAAGACTTAAAGTCTTCTATATCGTGTACAGTCATTCGGACTAACTCATCCATTCTACAGGCCCCAGAAATATCAAATATTACAGCCACTAAAAAATAAATTAAGCTATAATCTAAATAAAAATTAAAACCTTGTAAATTACCTTAATCATTAAATTTTCTTTATCTGGAGCTTCCTGGATAAATTTTTCAATTTCTTCCTTCGTTAAAATCTTAGATTTCTTTGCCCTATAACCTTGAGCTTGCCGTTTCAATAAAGAACGAAGTTTTGAGTATGTAGATATATCTACATTGTGCTTAAGTGCAAGGGTTGACTTCAGCATTGAATAATTGGCCCATAATGTTGAAGATTTCATCTTTAAACAAAGGTCTAGGAAGTATGCCATTACAACATTTTCTGAGAAAGAACTCGTATTTTTACTCATGCGATAATCCATAAAACGTCTGTATGCATTTTCGTACTTTTCTCTTGATTTCTTTGGCAATAATTCTAATGAAGCAGTATTCACTGCCTCAACCAGCTCTGGAGGAGTCCCAGGAATGGAAATTTTATCATCACTTATCATTTTACTTTCGAGAACACCAGCAATTAAATTTATAAGCGTTAAGTTTGACAATTCAACCTCAATACGTTTCCATAGTAACCCAAGTAATTTTATTAGGAATTTCAAAGCACCATTTATTTGGGAATAAAATTATCGCGTTTTTTTAAATCAATTAATATCTGTCGAATTTTAAACGATTTGCGGAAAAATAGTATGTTTACCTCGTAGGAAAAGCCACATTCCTGGACTCTGTTTTGCTAAGTCTCGGCTTGCGCCTCGTCTTGGCAATCTTCACAGTCGTCCAGGAATGTTAAGCTTTTCCTACCCGGTAAACAATGTACTATTGATAGGAAAAACTCGAAACCGTATTTTAATTTTTAATGTTCATTGCTTCGTAAAACTCTTATATAATTGTATACTCTTATACCTATAATTGTCCTTTCAAATCTTATGAGGATTCACAGTTTTTTGAAATCCATAAGGAAACTAAGTTCCTGTAGCTGTCTGTATACTATGTATCACAAAAAAATTATTTAAAATCCTTTATAAAAGGTGTATAATTAAAACACCTAATCGGGCTATATTACAAAACGTTTTCGGAATCTATATTCAATCATCAGTGTGTCTAGGTGTACATGTTTTGAGCCACTAAATATTTGGGTAAAACCCGTTAAATGTTATTAATTTAAATTTAGGTTACATTATTCGAACTTATATGTTAAGATGTTAAAGTTACCAGTGGAATTGATAACATGGCAACGTAAAACTTAACATGAGGTTGCTTGCTCCTGAGAAAAAGTGTCTACGAGGACTTTTTCAGTTACTATTAAGCTATCAAAGAAGTTTTCTTCGGCAGGTGGCGTGATTGCATCTCCTATGGTTCTTCTTCCGGTTGCTTTGTTCGAAGTTAATAAGGGTTCGTGAGAATTCATATGTGTATTTTTTTTTTTTTTTTGAGATAAGTGTTGACTTGTTTCGGATAAGGTTGATTTATGTTTCTGGGTATTAGAGGATGACTTAGACAATATAGGTGTTGCGATTGTAGTGTTAATTGAAGAAGTGATCAAAGGTATAGATGTATTTTGTAGTGAGTATTTTGTAGTGGGCATTGTTAGGTTTGGTTTATTGATAAATTTGGCATTACTACTGTTTGTAATGTGGTTTGAGAAGAAGTAGTAAGTGTAAGTGTGGAGGGAGTGGTATTTCAGATTGTGGGAGTGGTTTATAGATTATCTTGTTGATTATGATTTATTGATGAATTTTGTCTTATTTCTGTTTGCATTGCACTATCATTGTGAGGATGGTTAGAAGGTGAAATATTTGGACAATTAGCTGCCTGATATCCAGTTAATTTGCATTTGAAACATGTTTTGTTTTGGGCTATACATATGCGATATGATGTTTGTTCCAATTCGATGATAAAATATTCAGGTAGTACAAAGTTGTCTGGAAAAGGTAAAACGAAAATTTGTCTTCGTAAGCTTAGAATATGACTGAATGCAGGATTGGTTGCTCCTAGCCGTAGGTATGATATGTCTGAGAGAGGATTTAAACCTAGTTTTAATATTGTAATAATTCGTCCATTATTAGGTTACAAGGTATGCTTGGACATGCATTGGACATAATTAAGCGGACTGATGGAGTTATTCATCTTCTCGCTTCTAGTATATTTCCATTAACCAATATCTTCTTTATTTGTGCTATGAGTTTATCTACTAGGTTTTTAGATGATAGATATATACATATTCTACCGTTTGATATACGACATGCAAAAATTATATTTTTTGGTTCTATATGCTGACTCAATCCTTCAAGATATTTATTAACTGTACAATTATCTAGATTGTTATATAGAATAGCTTGATCTCTGTTTGGGATTAATATACTACGTAGTTGATTAACTGCTTTTGAGTATGATGCATTTTGTGGCAGCTGACTGGAAGATGACATCTTTTAAATGGATTTAAAATCCGACTAAAACCGGTGCTGTTTTACAGCTTTTGCTGTGATACCAGTTCACGGAAATTTGATAATACTTATAATTAATTGCAGTGGTTAACTTATATATCTTATTTCAAATAGATGAAAACAGTATATTTTATCTACTCACGATTCAAATATTCAGTATACAAATCACTTTTTCTTAGTTGTATACTTAATTACTTTTAAATTTACCTCAATAATTACTATTTAACTAGCGCGATAAATGAGTGCCTAAAACACGTCCTTCTCGCTTGCTGGTCAAACATCCACCTTCCCTACTCTATCTTTAAACCTTAATAAAAACATTATTTCAAGTAAATTTAGATATCTTAAAAGTACCGTTTTTTAGGAACAATCATAACCAATCTAGTGAGTGGTGCTTTAATAAAGGCAACAGGCAACTGGAGTTCATGTTTCTACTTCTTCGGTAGCGGAGGGGTTATATGGTGTATTTTATGGCAACTTCTGTGCTATTCAGAACCAAGCACACATCCATTTATAACTGAAAAAGAACTCGAATATTTAAAAACCAAAATAGGTTAGTATAATATTTATAGACTGACAAGTATTTTATAATTTATAGTTTATTATAATTTATTAACAACTATTTACGACAGGATAAATATTTTTCATTTCAATTTTAGATTCAGTTACAACAAAGAGACAACCTACTCCATGGAAGGCGATCTGGACATCCCCACCGATATGGGCCTTGGTGGCAGCACAACTAGGTCACGACTGGGGATTTTTTACGTTGCTCACTGATCTACCTACTTATATGAGCGACGTTTTAAAATTTAGTATTGTAGATAACGGAATCTGGAATTCGATTCCCTATCTGGTAATGTGGATCTGTTCAATGTTCTCAGGATGGTTGTGTGACTTTCTTATTACTAGGAAATATTTGAAAATTAGTTTTGCGAGAAAATTATTTACCATAATCTGTAAGTATAAGTTTTTATTTAGTAAAATTAAATGTGTTTTACTGGCAAACGAAAAAAAATGCAGAAGACAAAAAAAAACAATGTTGTAATACAATCCAAACGAAATCAAACAAAATATTTTGTTTAACAAGATAACAAAATCTATAATATAATTGTGTTATAAGGTTAAAATAAAAATTTGATACGACTAAAGGTCGCGGTATATTATAATGCACGTATAGTTTCCGGCACGTAGCATTTCCAGTCCAGCAATTGGACTGCGCGTTCACACTTTGATACATAGAACATTTCAGTTTGGTGCGGTGAAAATGTGTTCTCGCTTTTCCAAATATTTTCTTTTTTATTTGCATCATAATAGCATTTATCATTGTATTTATATAAAATTCCTTCACCGCATACGAGTTCAATTAATTTTTAGAAATCCATTTTTACTTGTACTATTAAACTGTAAATATCAAACCAAAGAGTATTTTTAAAAAAGAAGAGGTATCACTTCCGTGCAAAAGTCCTAATTGTTTATGACTTCCGTATTTAATTGTAACAAAGCAATAAAAATACATGCATAAATGACAAAATACCCTCGTAAATAATTTTTTTAAATACTCTTAATTCAACTAAATTCAACTAGGGGAAAACTACGGAGTCCTTATTCACATTATCCATACCAACAGGTTTCGACTTGTTCCGTAGCGGTTGGCATCCGTATAATATTGTTTTCGAATATACTGAACGGATACGTTAGGTGTCTGATACGATACGTTCCTGACAGTGTAAATTGTTCATATTTAAAACCATTTAAATTATATTCTTCTCTGTTTTCTGTCAATTCTATTTTTTATTCACAAGCTTGAATAATAAAAATATGAAATATTGAACTAAATATATAGGAGAACAAAGGATAATGATAGAATACGGAGCGCGTACAAGTCGCGCTCAATGACAGCCCCACGTTGGGCGCCCTGTCACCACGGGGGAACAAATTAGGGTCTAATCGCCTTCTAATGCCTCTGAGTGCTCTGTAGAGGGCTTCGGAAATGTCGACAAAAGCACCTCTACCCAAGTCTATTTTCACTGTATAGTATCAGGTTCGTCGTCTTCGATGACTTGCCTTGAAAAAGGCAAGATATTTCTTACATGACTAATTATAGTCAAAATAAAACACCAAATTGTAGTAGAATAAAATCTCTAGCCATAGAGTATAAGAAAAGTTAAAAACAAGAAAGCAAAGCCCCGAGAGCACTAAGCTCTCGGAGAGCCCGTGAGGGATATACGCTGATGTAGCGATAAATAGGGATTTCCAGGTCAAGGACCAATAGGAAAATTAGGGCGAAGCGATGCGTCTCGGAGCGCGTACTAGTCCCGCTCGAGGACAAATACCGCAGTTAAGTCTAACAGCATGAATTTTGAAATCCATGTAAATTTAATTATTTCGTTGACCATAAATGAAAACTTTATTCTGTCACTTGTATAGAATCAAAATATATGCAGAAGTCATAACATAAAAAGTCTTTTTATCATTCAAAATATGTTAAGAATTGCCACATATACTAAGAGCCATCGACAAAATATAATTATAGATTTATCAAAGAAAGAAAAAGAAAAATTAAGAGTAAATATTTTTTAGCTTCTATGGGACCTTCAGTATTTTCAATGGCTGCCTCCTACTCTGGATGTGATAAAAATCTAACTGTTACCATGTTTACCTTAGCCATGGCTTTCAAAGCAACCTTTTATTGTGGATTTAAAGTAAATGCATTAGATCTTGCGCCAAACTATGCAGGAATTGTTATGGCAGTTGTTAACGGCTTGGGAGCTATAGCAGGTGGAATAGCACCATTTTTGGCAGGAGCTCTAACAGAAAATGTAAGTAGCCTTTGTTAATTATTAAAACATTTAAATTAAGCTCAAAACTATTTTTTCCTTAAAACATATTTACGCTGAAAGTGATTTGCGTCATATAACAATATTTGTTTTAGCATACATTATTGGAATGGAGAACTGTATTTTGGATGACGTTTGGCTGTTATACCATTACAACAGTTATCTACTGTATATGGGGTACTGCTGAAATACAACCATGGAATGATCCTGAAAAATATAGGATGATGAAGAAATTTTCAAATACTAGTTCCAATTTCACAAATGATGATATTCAGACAACAGAAAAAACGGAAAATGTGTAAACATATATACAGATTATTATTTTAAAAGTATTTTAAACATTCAAGATTAAATGCTTAGTTTTCTACGTAGCACTAATTATATATTTATGATACTATATTTTGCCTTGCATTCTACCATGTCTCATATTGTGTGATGTAAAGAAAGTAAAATAAAATGAAAACTATATACAAAAATATGAAGAGATATTTAAATGGCAAATTTAATTAAAGAACTTGGCAATAAATACGATAAATACGAAAAGTTCTACGCAGAAATTGTTTTTAAGAGAACTTTCACTTTCTTAATTTTCAAAAAATTTGTTATTTTACGTAAACACATTCCTTAGTATCATAGAAATACTAAAATTTTATTAAGAAATTCAAAACATAAACGAAGTTATAGCTGTATTTTTAACGATGCGCGCCTGAGCTAAAACTCCTTTGTATACAGTACCATGCGCCCAGCTTCACCTTTGCACCTGTGACTCGACAATTGCTTTCTAAAACTTATAAAAGCAAGCACATGTTTTATATTAATATAATTTATTAAAAATTAATATTTGGAAAATTAGAAAAGATGTCCGGATTTAAAAAGCAGTCGATGTAAGGGGACGCATTGAAATATGCATTAAAATTATTAATATCTTCATTCCTCGTTAAAATTAATAAAATTAATAATTGGACTAAAATTTAAACAAATAGTAACGAGTTGTCGTAAAATATCAATATAGCTCAAATTACTTAAGCCAATATTAGGAGCAGCGAGACATCAAAAGACAGAGTTCTACAAAAACATGTTTGACCGACCATTTACAGCTTTAACTAGACAGTAAAGGTCGCGGCATATTATCATGTACGTATAGTTTCCGGCACGTAGCGTTTCGAGTCTAGAAATCAGACTGCGCGTTCACAGTTTTTCACATAGACCGTTCAAGTTTGGTGCTGTGAAAATATGTTCTCGCTTTTAGCGATAAAAATTATGTGCAATTGCTCTTCTACTTAACGATGAAGAAAGAAAAACTCTAGTAAAAAGAAGGTTTGAAGTACATCCAATGCTAAGAGAAAGAAAAAAGGAAGGTGAATACTGGACTTTATACAAAGAATTAATTGATGACGATGGAAAGCATTATAGATATTTTAAAATGAATAGGATTTATTTTGAATATATTTTAAATTTAATTACATCTTTAGTTAAAAAAACAAAAAACTACATTTAACGAAGCCATACATATCAATCCAAAGAATATTTTTAAAAAAGAAGAGGTATCACATCCGTGTTGAAGTTTTAATTGTTTATCAACCATGTGATTAATTGTCACAAAGCAATAAAAACACAGGCATAAATGACAAAATAGCCTCGAAAATTATTTTTTTTAAATATTCTTTATCAAAATCAAACAAATCCTAAATAAACAACGAGGAGAAAACGAAAAAACCCCTAATTCACATTATCCGTACCAAAAGACTTGAATATACTAAACGGAAACGTTAGGTGCCTGATGCGATACGTTCCGGACAGTGTGAATTGTTCATATTTAAATTATATTTTTCGGAAACTAAACAATATGGGCTGGAAACACAACGTACATGATAATATGACACGACCTTAAGGGTACCCAATATGCTCCGCGAATAGTTTATTGGAGGTTAAAAAATAAATATGGCTATTCCATTCTATTACATTAAAGTAAAAATACTTAAAACAAGTTTTTCTCGAAATCACATTTTTCAGAACTGGGAGCAGTTTTTCCGAAATCCTAGCACACCAATCCCAGTAAACTAAAACTTTTTTGATACTTTATATATACAAGTACTAAATAAACCTCGTTAGTATAGGAGTAAATTCACCCAAAACTCAACCCAAAATTAAAGAATTTAAACTTTTTAAAGGTTTATTTATTAGTTTATAGTATCACGAATAAAATCCCGTTAAAAAAAGTCACAAGCAGGTAGAAAAGTGCCAAAAAAGCCAAGTTATAGTAAATCTTTTGGAAAAAGCCCTCTGCAATGATGAAAAACAACTAAAAGTGTAAAAAAAATTTTTCTATACCTGAAAGCATTGTCACAGAATAATAAACAATCAGAATGCCCACTCTCAGATGCCGCCTTTGAAGTTTGTCAGCATGCGAACGCCATGTTTTAGACGGAAACTAGACTCGAATTGAGAAATGGGTGACAAGCTACGACCGAACTGTAATTTAAATTTTTAGAGATTAATAATTTAGTACATTTGAAATAATTTAATCTATTCTTCAACTAAAAGTACGAATAAAATAGTACATATTATGTCTGTAGCTACCGTAAATAAATTAAACCGGGTTAATTTGTCTATGTACACCAGATAAAATGTTACTGAGCAGCACTGAATCCGACTAAAACATGGCTGATTCCGCCTGCGCGAACGAGATGCGCGTAAATATTTTTTCAATCAGAGTGGGCATTCTGATTGTTTAATATTCTGTGGCATTGTCACAGAATAAACATCAATCAGAATGCCCACTCTACTTGTCAAGATAAGTACGCGCATCTCGTTAGCACAGACGGAATCATATGCCTAATCTATGGAATCAGCCATGTTTTAAACGGAACCAGTGCTGTTCAGTGAATTTTGATCTTGTGTGCATAGAAAAATTAACCCGGTTTAATTGATTTACGGCAACCATAGACATAATATGCAATATTTTATGTCGTATTTTAGTTGAAAAATAAATAAAATTATTTCAAATTTACTAAATTATTTAATTATGGTTCCGTCGTAGCTTGTCACAAATTTCTCAATCCGAGTGTATGTTTCCGTTTAAAATATGGCGATCACATGCTAACACACTTCAAAGGCGGCATCCGAGGGTGCGAATTGTAATTGTTATTTATTCTGTGGCATTGTTAACAATGAAAAGGAAAAAATATGGTGAATAATATATTTTTTGTTCAACATTTAAAAATTGTCTTTCTTTTACAATTTAGAAAGTAAAAGTTCTCATAACATATTTTTTATTATATGTGCCTTATTTAACTTGTAATTTAAATTTTTTATAATGATGCAATGTCGATTTATTAATTTTTTATATTTATTTATTATTTTTATTAATAAAATGTTTCAAATATATCAAAAGATGGATATGTTTACTTTTAATTTTATTAAGCATTAAATCAAAATACCGTGGGATAAACATCGTAAGGACGATTTATTAAAGGTAAGTGTCAGATCTTTAAGTATGAAGAGATAATTCCTCGAGAGGTAGTATCGGGAAAATCTTCGACTACAGAACGTGAAGTGTTGAGCGAAAAATTAAAATAATAGAATCAAGTGTATTATTAAGATTATTTCATCGATGAGGAACAGGAAAAGAAAACGGTGAGCAAGGTGAACAAGCACAGAAATCTCGAGCACGTTAACATGATCAATAGAGTGAATAATAGAAAGCAATTAGAAAGCTCAGAGTAGAAAGTAACAACAAAGAAAGCCACTAAATTAAGAAAAATCTAACAGTAAAACACTGAACACTGTTGGGGAGGGAAGAACTGTTTGTATCAAACTGGTCATCCAGAATTATAACTGTATTTTTTAATTACCATAGATTGTAATAAACATACCTTAAAACGTTTATTATAAACGTGAATAATTTGAAATTCTTAATTGAAAAAATGATTATGGTATAAAAGGTGAAGTGCGTAAAATATGTTTTCATTATTAATGAAAGCACTTTAATGTTTTCTTATACGTTTGTTAAAGTTCTACCAGTTTGACCAATGTAAATTTTTGGGCAGTCGCCACATTTAAGTTTATATACACCACTGTAGAAGTGCTCTTTCTTTAGGCTCTTGTTGTTCTAAAATCTGGTGTTATTCCTTTGCTTTTTACGTGTTTTGTTATTTTTATTGATATCTTGCCTGTATATGTAATCGAGCCAAAGGTACTTGGTTTTTTTTTTCTCATCCTTTTTTTTATTTTGCACTGATCATATTTCTCTTTTCAACTAAATCGCGGGCGTACACGTGACTTACATTTTTGTCCGGATGCCATTAATGAAATATTTGAGCTGTTCATAAATAACACTGGTTCTGGGAGGCAAATATGAAAATTATCTCTACGCGTTCAGGTATACTATAAACCGTGGTGACAATTACAGCTCAATGACAGTACCGATCGTATAAATGATGAAAACTAATGGCATTTAAAATTCTCAAATAAACCAAAAATTATTGAATCTGTCAAAACCCAAAAAACGGATGATTTCAACTTGTGCAAAAACGGCAAATTAAGTTTTTATTTAACAAAAAAAAAATCCGACGAACACTTAATATTAAAAATAATAGTCCAGGAGATAGTATTACAAATACAAAAGTCATAGTAAGTCATGCTGATATTAACACTCTGATTATTAAACAATAATTATACAGGGTCATCAACAGAATCAACAAAAACCTCATTGAATTTTCCATTTAAGCCAAAGTTTCACAATTATTGCTTCACCCTGTATAATTAATATTTATACCATTTAATAGTTTTTTTATAGTCTTTTAAATAATGTATCACAAGCAGGGATTTTTATATTTAAACTTTTTTGGTTGTGGTAGGTGGGGCTTTGGGGGGTTGATGGCGGTGAGTTCTCTTTCATGTCATTCTATTTCTCCCTTACTATCCTAGAAACGGTTTAAAGCATTTTTCGATATCAGGTTTTGTTAGTGACTTACACATACTTACATGTAAGTATAAAAAAAAATCTAATAAAAAAATGTTATTATAAAAGTTTAGAAGCTAAACAACCCTTTTTAAAACTGTTTTTAATAATAAATTAAATAAAATGTTGTAGTTTGTTTGCATACCCTAAAAATAAACTGTTAAAGAATCGATTGCGATTGAAAAAATACCTCCAGAGTGACGGTTTGGGCAAGTACAATTGTTTAAATAATCGCTCTCCAGGATAAACAAATTGAATAAACTAGTTTTTCGAACTATTTGAAATTTAGCACCCTTAAATAGCTCATTTAGTGCCACAATTTTGAATAGATATATCACGTATCTTTATACAAAAACCAAGTTATTAACATTAAACGACAAAAAAGGGCTTTTTCCTATAATTTAGGTCATTTATTTATGTATTTTGGCGGTTAACGCAAGACACTTCAGCGACGTGATACACGTACGTGCAAGACGCGGGGCGAACATAGACACAGACCATTACCTACTACAAGCTAAACTAAGAGCTAGAATCTCCAATGCAAAAAAAGAAAAAGGAGTTAAAGAGGAAAGGTTTAAAGTAGAAGCGTTAAAGAACCCTGAAATAGCTAAGAGATTCAAGAAAAGTCTCGAAAGCAAGCTGGAAGGCTGCACGGATAGAAGATGGATATTGGAAGGAGTGGCAACTGAAGTAATCGGAAAGCAAAAATGTACAAAAATTAAGGACGATGTACGATGAGGAATGCACATAAGCAACGCAAAGAAAACATCAGGCATATAGAACACTTCAAGGGCGAAGAGCGAGACAAACAGAGGAAGAGTATAGACAGCTGAGACAAGAAGAAAAACAAATACTTAAAAAAAGAAGAAAGAGGATGTAGAGAGCCACCTAAAAGAACTAGAGAGCTATAAGGCACAAGCAGAAACGCGAAAGTTCTACAAGAGGATTAACCAGAACAGGAAAGAATACAAACAAAGATTATCAATCGTTAGAAATAGAACAGGGGAGATGTTTGGTGATCAGTACCAGATACTAGAAAGGTGGGCAGAAAACTTCGAGAAAAGGCTAAATATAAGAGGTGAGAAATCAGAAATCAGAAATCCAGTTCGACGACATTGACGACGAAAGAGAGAAAGATAACATTCCAACAGAGGTAGAAGTCATACAAGCTGTACAAAAATTGAAAGAAAACAAAGCTCCTGGGGCAGATGGTATTCCTTCAGAAGTTTTAAAGCAAGGAAAAAAACCTGAAATACTGTATATGTAGACTGGTAGAACTGATCTGGAAGCAAATAAAGTTGCCAGCAGACTGGAATGTAGGTATAATTGTACCTATCCAGAAGAAAGGAGATCAAACACTATTTAACACCTACAGAGGAATAGAATTTAATTGAGTTGAACGGGATAGTTTAGTATCCTAAAGCGCAGGCAAATATGAGTGACCACTGAGTCTGCAATAATAACAAATAATTCAACATAATAACAAAGGTAATAAACTTACTGGCATGCTGTAGCTGTAAAACAGTATCACTTATTTGGCGTTTACAAATTTAACACGCCTCAACTATTGTTAAAGTTTTTAAAAATAGCACGATAAAGAAGAATCGATAGTCTGCTTGTATTTTCGATTTGTAGAAATCTGATCTAATTTCCAACACATTAAAAGGATATGCAAAACATATCTTAACTTTATCATTTTTTTTATGAGAACTTCCAAGTAGTATTTGCATCACCTTATTAATAATTCTCATTAATCTAGAGTTAAGATAACTATCTACTGATTTTGCTATTTTTCTTGATTCGCTGTGATAAATGGTGTTTTGATAAAATTATTTGAAATATTAAATTTTAAAGATATTAAGTAGTACAATATAAGTAAAATATAAGAAGTATATAGTGCAACATAAAATAATATAGAAGACCTAATAATTTTATATTATACTGCAAATAGTAAGTACTTAGTGAGAATTTTTATCAAAGAAATTTAATTCAGTATTAATTCTTCAACTAGAAGAACATCATGCTTTTCATGTAGCAAATTAATAATATATTCTAAAATAATATTGCCCCTTCGGTAGACGTTTTCAAAAGTTTTAGACGTTGTAGATACTGAACGAAAAATATCACTTTTCTGAACACTATCACTTTTCTGAACACTAAATAATATATTCTTCTTCTTCTGGTAGCACTACAACCCGGGGTGGGTCTTGACTGACTGCACAACCTGCTTCCATCTCGAACGGTCGTCCATGATGTTTAAGTCAGTGGGTAGCCCCATAAATAATATATGTATATCCAGATTTAGCCGTACGGCTCATACTCCCTCTACTAAGGGAAAAATTCAGTCACCCCAGATACCTAAGGTATCAAAAGAATTTAGCTCTGGTGGGGCTCTTTTGCGCCTGACGCTCCACGTAAGATATTGAATGGTTTCTTGGGCTTGACATCCATATCGGCATTTGTCGTTTTGAACTTGAAGGCCTTCGACAATATATTTCAAGTAATTTTTAGTTGCAATAAACTGATCCTGAATGGTAAGTATGAAACGCTCTGTCTCGGGAAACATCTTTTCTGATGTCCACCAATAGTTCGAGGCTATATTGTCGACATATTCTTGGCTGGCCTCATTAAGATTTCACCTATACAGAGGTTTACTTATCCAGGTCCGCATTATTTCTTGCTTAGTCAGATGGTTTGTGCGCATTACTTGTTTCCTCAGTTTGAGCGGTGTTATGTCATTTACTGAACAAATTGCTCGATATAAAGTAGATGTCTCAGCATGCGTCTGAAAGTAGGTTCTTAAATTAGAAACCTGTTCTGCGTTCTTTATCCGTTTTTGACCACTTTATAATACCAAATGTGTAGCTCAGCGCAAAACAGGCATACGTATTTAATGCCTTTAACAAATTTTTAATATTAAGATATTAGTTGCCTTACTCTTTGCACAAACTCAGAAGTTAGTTCGGTTTTCATTTGATTATGGTCAATTTTCCGCGCTTGCTTTAGTCCAAAATATTTGTGCCCATCATTTTCACCTATTCCGTCGATTTCTTAGCCAACTTGTATATCGAACCCTCTGGGCTGAACCTTTCCTCTGACTATATTTAGTATATGGCACTAGTCTAGTCCAAAATGCATACTGATATCATTTGAGAATATTTCCACAGTTTTCAGCATCTGATACAGGTGGTTTCGATTAAAAGCCATTAATTTCAAATCATTCATATACAGCAAATGATTAAGCTTCGCTACAACAGTATTGTTATTTTTGATGCTAAAAACAAAGTCAGTGTTCAATGTCGATGTTGTTTTCACTGGGTATTTATTTATTTTAAAAAGGTCAATATTATCACCGAATTATATATTTTCAATATATCTATAAGCCACTCATGCGATACTGAATCAAAGGACTTTTTGTAGTCAATGAAGGCAGTAAAAAGGTTCATTTTTTAGTCTACGCCTGATTAGACATGGTTGATTCAATTATAAGTTGTTTTTTGCAGCCCATAGAACCCTTAGCGCATCATTTCTGTCAAGGCTCTATGATATTGTTGAGAGAACAGTGTTGGGCTACACAGGATGTGACCCATTTGTACAAAGTTGGAAGACAAGCAATTGAGCGGTACTTCGCTGGATGTTCGGTGTTATTTTGATTCTTTGGTATTAGATAAGTGGTTCCCTTAGTAAAAAAAGGTGATATTTCCTGTTGATTGCAAATTACATAATTATTCTTGTTAAAAGCTTATCAACACTCAGTTTGTTTAAAGTTACTCAGTTTAGTTTTAAAAGATATTAAATTAAATTTAATGTTTCAGAGAATAATTTTGAGGGACGATCTTTTCTAAGCTCACTGTAGATATCGTATTATATCAACAATGACACAGTAATTTTTCAATTACTGAATAAATAAAAGAAACACTTTTACAATGGTTAAATTTAAGATGGTTTTTTAAGTGGAAAAATAAAGATGAATGAGGGTGATAGTGCAGATTTATACATTAAAAATAATAAAGAATCTCGTCTTTTTTACAATTATCTCTTTAAATGTGGCAAAATGTGAACATTTGCTAATATTAATTACAATAGGTAAAGTGCGCTAGAATTATAAAGGAAAGCTATACAATAAATATCACGGAAATATTAAAACAGTAAGTCTCAAGTTTATTTTAAAAGTTTTCTTTTATTGAACATAAATTATCTGTAGACTTAATTTAGATAGACATGTTCTGAATTTAATAAAATACAAATGATAAAGTATTTTAATCAAAGTAAAGTAATTTATAAACTTCATTTTCATTAAAACAAATATTATTTTTGACTTTTTTTCTGACATGAAGCATCAACCACGCATTGTTATTAGTATGTATGGATTGTGATACGGAATTTAGAACTTAACAATAAAGTATTAATCATAGCAATAAATAATTATAAATAACGTGTCTCTGGTAACGTGTTTCTATCTTCTGATCTCTAGTTGTGTAGCATTTTCGTTCACCCCGTATATCATAAAACACCGCAAAAGATCAATAATCTTTTTTGCGTCTCTGAGATAGGTAATTTAAGCATTTTCGAATGTGTTTATAATGATTATAGTTACTCTTTCGATTGATCTTTGTTCCGCATAGATATTTACGCTGAAAATAAACAACAGATTTTTTCTTACTTTCTTAAGAAATCGAAGAGTTTTGTTTACATTCTCAATAAGAGTAAGTTAATAGAGGAGCAGTAATAATTATTTCAGTGAACTACAGAGTGTTTCAAAAAGGTATGTCATAAATTATATCACGCATTCATGGTACAAAAATAAATTAAATGAATCCAACTTACCTCAGTACAAAAGTGTACACAAAAAAAGTTACAGCCTTTAAATTTAAAAGTTATAAAATAAAAATTGTTTTTTTGCATTATCTCCTAAAGTACTTGACATTTTGTAATAAAAATGGACACGTTATTTTCTTGTTCTGAAAGCATTTTTTATAAAAAAGAAGAAACAAAATCTAAGCGCACAGAAAAATTTTAAAGGTGAAGTGCAGCCTTAAATCCCACAAACTTTTGAGTTCGTTCAAATCAAATGAATTTTGTGGCATCATTAGTTTAACACATTATTTTTAAAAGAATTTTGTCTTATCACTTTTTTAAAAAACTAGTTTTTTCCTAGTTTGCCATAAAATTACAATTAGTTTCTACGAATAGAATAATTACAAACAGTTCCATCAATAATGGCAGATATGCATTTAACTTTGGGTAAGTGGGATCAGATCAAATTATAAATTCAATAAACTATCGGGAACATCGTAGGTGAATGTCAAGGAAATAGTGCAGCAGCCGCAAGGTGTTATGCAGTAAAATATTCCAATCGAAATACACCCGATAGACGATTACCTCTGACCATTGATAGTCGTTTACGGAAAAAGGGTACATTCCAACCGCAAGTTGCTGGCAATAGTAGTCATCCAGTAATGGATGTAACTGGTAAAGATATTTTAGAAATCATTAAAGAAGTCGAAATCATTGAAGAAGTCCCTGGAACAAGTACAAGGGTAATAGCAGCTCAACTAAATGTTCCTTACGTTGAAGGATCAGCTGCTTAAACCCTATCACTTAACATCGGTTCAAGATTTATTGGTTGAAGATTATCCTAAAAGGATTGGATTTGCGATTGTTGTTAATGGAAAACACTAGAAATGTTAATTTTATTAGAAATATTTTGTTTACCGACGAGGCCACCTTCAGTAGAAATGTAATATCAAACCATCATAAGAAGCACATTTGGGCCGACAAAAATTCTCATGCCAAAAAAACAACTCATCACCAAAGGACTTTCAAAGTTCATGTTTGGGCAGAAATTGTGGATAACAATCTAATAGGCCCAGTATTTCTTCCCAACAATTTAAATGGTGATAAGTATTTGCAATTCTTTGCAAACGATTTACAAGAGTATTTGAAAGAAGTAAATATTGCAATAAGGCAAAATATGTGGTTTCTGCAAGATGGCGCTTCACCACACAGTAATGAAGTCCGGGAATACCTTTGCAGGCAGTATCCTGGTCGGTGGATTGGAAGGGGTCGTGACGCACCTATTTCTTGGCCACCCTGAAGTCCAGGTCTTAACCCCGTGGACTTTTGCTCTTGGGGGTTTATGAAAAAGAAAGTGTATTATGTAACAATTGAGGACGAACAACAATTGTGGATTAGAATAATTGAAGCTGCAAATCAATTTCGTCAGAAAAATATGATTTTTCAGCGCATTCGGTTTTGCTTATTAAAGCGATACCGAGTGTGTATTAAAGAAAATGGGGGTCATTTTAAATATTTATTGTAATATTCTATTTATAGAGGTTATAGACATTTTTTGTACTTGTTAATTCATTTAAGCCATTGATTTAGTTGCACATATTTTTTTAAAGGTTAATGAAAAGGGCCGTAAGTCAATAAAAAGTGTTTTTTGAAAAAGGTGATAGAAGGCAAAATAAAATTTAAAAATAATGATGCCACAAAATTCATTTAATTTGAACGTACTCAAAGGTTTGGGGGATTTAAGGCTACACACCCCCCTTTAAAATTTTTCTGTGTGCTTAGATTTTGTTGTTTCTTTTTAATGAAAAATGTTTTCGAACAAGAAAGTAACGTGGCATTTTTATTACAAGATGTCAAGTAGTTTGGGGAATAATGCAAAAATACAATTTTTATTTTGTAACTTCAAAGGGCTGTAACTTTTTATGTGTACACTTTTGTACTCAGGTAAGTTGGATTCAATCAATTTATGAATTGATGCAATTCACCCGGAATGCGTGCTTTAATATATGACATACCTTTTTGAAACACCGTGTATATGAATTCCTTTTACTTACAAAAGTAACGTTTATGTTCATCATAATTTTACTTAGTGATCAGACCAGAGACAAATTAATTTTAATATTTTATATTTTTTTTTAGTGAAATATATACCACAACGATATGTTTTGGGATTTATGGGATTTCTCGCATCTGTAATAGCATACACACTAAGAGTGTGCCTTAATATTGCCATAACAAAGATGGTTGTATATAAAGAAAGTGCACATTTTGATCCAGATGCTTGTCCGACTGAAGCTTCTCATAATCAAATATTAAGTGACGAAGTAAGACATATGTTAGTTAATTCTTTTATTTTCTAAAGGTGTAGGTTACGTATCTCAAGGTAAGTGCCTACTATTAACATGGCAGGGGTATCATTACATTTAAACAAAATCAGAGTAGGGTCCTACAATCTTGCGTCTAGCAGCTGTAAATATGGTGGTTGCGCTTAAAAGAAGAAGAGTAGAACTTGCGTACATTTAAGAGACAAAGTGGAAATGACAAAAGGCAAAAAAATGTATCAAGGATACAAATTGTGGTTGATAGGGAAAATTAACACAAGAACTGGATATTGTATAGTTGCTGATAGACAAATGAAATAGGCAAAAGTTGTAAAAAGGGAACAATAGAATAATGTGAGTGAAATTTTTACTTAATAAAAAAGTGTTGATCTGTGCTTTAACGTTTATATAATAAGTTTAATTGTGCGAGAAAAAACAAAAGGCCTTGCACAATTAATTGGGATATATACTTGAAAGGGTTTATATTTATTCTATCAAAGGAGAAAGTAATATTAGAAAATAATTTTCATCTACATATAAAAGTGGAGTTTGTGATTCATCATAACTTTATCATTCAGTAGTATAAAAAGCATAAAGACGAATGATAAGAGCAAAGTGCTAATAATATTTAACAAACAGTTGATGGAAGTTACATATAGCTACAATTTACACGCGAAAGGATGAATTTAAGCTTGGAGTAGGTATATTTGTAAAAGGTACAAAACAACTGAAATCTGCAGGCTCAAGGGAAACAAATCTGACAAAAGACTGAAAATTCGAGAAACTGTCCAAAGAAAGTCAAAAGCTTTAGTAACCTCGTTAGCGAGTTTTTTTGGGTGGGGAAGAGCGGGAGACTCAAAATCAAGTCAGCGAAATGACGTAAACAAAGCAGACAAAATACAGTTAATGAAGACAGTTTTAAAGCATGCCCAAACCCAACCGAAAAGACATTGAACAAACAGATATTTAAGAATGGACTGATTGTCGTTTTGGGAAATGATTTTTCACTTTAGGTTATATAAATATTTGTCTATTTCACTGCTTTTTAAACTTTATATTACACCTTAAAGTAACCAGACTATTTTGCAGGTCACAAAAAATTTATATCATTGGGATGAAACGACAAAAGGTTTAATCCTTAGCTCTTTCTTTTGGGGATATGCAGTAACCCATATTCCAGGAGGTTTGTTGGCACACAAATTTGGAGGAAAACATTCTCTCGGACTAAGTATACTCTGTGCGTCTATTTTTACACTGATGACACCATGGGTTATTATAACCACCAATGGAAACTGGTTAATATTGGTAGTCTGGAGAATTATAATAGGACTAGCACAGGTAATAGATAAATGGTTACTATTAATATTAATGTGGGCGGAATAATTTGCAATATACACAACTCATGATATATATATATATATATATATATATATATATATATATATATATATATATATATATATATATATATATATATCGCACCCTCAGTGCAAAACTGCAGTAACTCAAAATTTTATGAAAATGAAGTAATCATGGAATTCGATTGTAAACATGCATATTTAGCCCCTGTAAAACTTAAGTAACTTTCAAATGCTTTACCGCCTAATTATTACAACAACAACAGTTTAATTATTTTATGTTTTTGTACATAATTCCCGTGCAAAACTGTTGTAACTCTAATGTAACAGAGTTGCAACAGTTTTGCACGGATTATTGCAATGGTTTTGATAACAAGCAATGAAAAGCACGAAAAAAGTAAGATATTTGTTATTTTAATATCTATATTTGTATGTTTAATTTTAATACACAGCGTCTACGGAATCCATTAACGGCCGAGACAATAAACAAAGATGTCGTTTGACCATTTATTTATTAGATTGGATTAAAAACATAAGAATTAAGACTAATTATTTACAGCCAACACGTATTTTTTCTTATGAAAGGAAAAACAGTGATCTTAAAACTTGTGTATTAACAATACTGACAGGTTAAAAATATTTATTCTCAGAAAACTTTTTCTATAAAAACTAAATCCCAAATTGTATTAAATCTTCATGTTTTTCTCCCCGTAACTTTTACTAAGGTAGTGAATTTCTATCCTTTTGTTAATCACTGTACTCAAGATAGCCTAATTGGCATATTTTTATTAGTCCTTTTTAAATTTAAATATAAATATTGAAATTTTTACAAATCGTTTTTCTACGCTGTTATGATATGACATTGTCATTACAAAAGCAAGGAATTGTGGCTATCAGAAACATGTGCAGACATAGAAAGATTAAATTGCCGCTAGCAATAAGCCGTTTTATTAGGTACCTATTTATTCTAGATATGACTCTGATTTCTTGGAATCTATTAAATGTAAAGTTTAATTCCCCGATTGCTGTTGGAGATTATTTTTCTTTACTTACCCGATGATTTATTGCCATTCGGGTATGATACCAGAAGCCCACCATAGTTTTTATAAAAATATTTTTGCCCAAGATGATATACGAAAAGAGGACAACAACTAACAGAAAATGTGTCTACACTTTTTACAATTTTCTTCGTACAAAAGTGTTGTAACTTTAAAATAATAATAATACTAAATGTGTAGTGATTAACAAGTTTCTGCGTGCAAAAGTGTTGTAACTTTGAAATTCCTATTTTTTTAGCAATTATATATTATTTTATTTAAATTTCTATTTTTGGTTAAAGTAATAAAGGGTAAAAAGCATATAAAATCATAAATAAGTGTTAACTTTTTTTAAAACTTGTATCTTATTTGACCGATATTAACATGAAAATAAACAAAATCGTCTTTATCTCGAAACTTACTTATTCTGACTTACTGCAGTCTTGCACTGAGGGTGCGATATATACAAAAAGAGGACATTCCGACCTTTAAATTTGTTATACAAGTTCATTGACTTAGATAACTGTTATTTGTACACCTATACAGTATACAGTATATTTGTACAGTATCTAATGTCTAAAACTCTCTCATTTAATTTAAATGTTTTAGGGTGTAATGCATCCAGCCCTTAACAATTTATTGTCAAAATGGATTCCGCTATCAGAACGAGCTAAAATTGGTACTTTAGTTTATGCTGGAGGACAAATTGGTACGAACAATTTTATCTAACAAAACCATATGAGTTTTTAAGAAAAACACCATGTCAAGGACAAGGCTTTCGAGGTCGCTAATTAGTAATGGTACATCGTATTCTGTATTTATAGACCATTTTCTAGAAATGTGCCTTCCTGAAGACAATAATTAATCAAACGACATAAAAGAGTGTGTCGCCCTTTACAGTGCTTACCGAATTTGTTAAGCAAATGCCAGTAATAAACAATTCATGACTATGGACTAAAAACTCAGAATACGATGTACGACAAAACTGTAATTGAAAAAATAATTACTATTGTCGGAAATTATTTACTTGAGAAATTATAAAATCTATTTTATTTAATAGAAATTTTCATCATCATCAGTAGCTCGACAACCCTTTCTGGGTCCTGGCTTATTCTAGGATTTTCCGCCATTCTGTTCTGTTCTTTGCTTTGTTTTTCCAGTTGGTAATCTTAAGTGTTTTCAGATCTTGTTTCACTTGTTTCATGTATCTAAGTTTGGGTCTTCCCTTTGACCTTCTCCCTACTGGTGTTTGCCTCATTATATGTTTTGGCGTTTCAGTCTCCAACATCCGTTCAACATGACCCATCCAGCGCAGACGTCCAATCTTTATGGATGTTATGATCTCGGGTTCATTGTATGCTGTGTATAATTCAAAGTTATACATTATGCGCCATATGTCATTTTCCTTCACCCCCTTATACATATTGAACGAAATAAATTCGGAACATACGAAATATTATGTATTTCGGCTCAATTCTGCTGTAGGTGGTTGGCCAACAAGAGGTTGTCAAATAATTATATTATAAAAATCCAATACTTCAGCGGGCTGCTGGATTCTGAACTAATTCAAGAACTCATTCATAGGTGGTCAAACCACCTATCGCTTCCTAAAGCCGGCCACTCACAGTACAGCGGTGTCGTCCGACATAATCGGACAGAGGCGTTCAATTTTTGTGTATAGATTCTGGTGCAAAGAATCCAAGATTTTGGTACAAAATAAATCTCGTCTGCCCCTGCACCCGATTTACTGAACTGCACTGCTAATTTTAATTCTCTTTTATAGGATGTTCTAAAATTGTTAATTTTTTTTCTTACATACTCTTCATTCGCATCTTTGTTTACGTCTTGGAACTTTAAAACTAGAATGTCCGTTGCCTGTTTTCGGGCGTTTCTATCGTGATACGTTTTACCTTTTATTCGCTATAGCATTCTTGTTTTTATATAATTTAAAAAACTCTCTTAAAAAATTCTCGCTAAATCAAGCCATTTCGATTTTCCATAATATGATCAAAGCAAGTTTTTAGTTAAAAACGAAGTTGAACAACGCCGCTCTATTGTGAGTGGCCGTCTTTAGGCAAGCCCCTCTTTCGTTTATCGGAGATAGAGATTTTGAGCCGTATTGCCAACATCATTCCACTAGATGTTTCTAAAATAACTACAAACTTCTGAAATAACTACAAACCATTAAGTTTATTTTTGTTATTAGTCTGTTGTAGTAGATTGGTAAATATAATGAAAAATATAGGCAAATAATCAATTTATTTAAAGATACGAAGAAGATAAATAACTCTCAAAAAGATCCGCAAATCGGATTATTACACGGCGATTGGCAACATTGACCTTGAGCTGCGCTCTAGACTATGGTGCGTTCTAAAAAGAGACGGATAGTTGAACGATATTTTATACAATGTCTAACACCGGGTATGGATTTATTTTTGTCCAAGTTTTATATTGGTCCACTATTTCAAATGCAGTTCAAAATTCGTTCAATCTGTATATGTGTTTAAGGATTTTTCGTTCAAATGTACCTAATAGGTTCTCATCGCTTTTCGACAGTGTCCACGTCTCTGATCCATATACAAGGACCGATTTTATCAGGGTCTTGTATATTTTGCATTTGGTTTTTCTTGTGATGTTGTTAGATCTTAGATGTTTAATGAGTCCATCATATGTTTTATTAGAGATATGTATTCTTCTCTTAACTTCTTCGCTGATATTGTTGTCTGCGGTAACTAGTGAACCTATATACGTAAAACTTTTCACGCTTTTGATGTTATAGTCTCGTATTGTCAGATTCTGTAGGTTTCTTTGGCCTGTCGATTTACTGGCCTTCATGTATTTGGTTTTTATTTCGTTAATGTGTAGGCCACTGCTTTGTACCGCTCTTTCTATCGCAAATAGAAATTTTATTGGTATAAATAATAAAGATTTTGATAGCGACTCCCGAGGTAAAGTCTGAAAATCAAATATAGCGTGTTCTCAATTAAAATTGTGGTTTTTTATATTTTATTTGATTTTATTATAAATGAAAAGATTTCGTTAGGATTTATCGACAGGAGTACAAGAAAGCAAGAAAGCGGGATATGGTGCAGGCGCTACAATTTTGAGTTGTATCAATGCTATACAAAATGCAACATCGTTCGGTCTATTAAAATTAATAGACTAAGGTGGCTAGGACACCTTGAAAGAATGGACACTGGAGATCCCCAAAGACAGATATTCTATCAAGAGCCAGTAGGAACCAGGAGGAGAGGCAGGCCAAGATCTAGATTCAAAACTCAAGTCGAAGATGACTTGAGGAATCTAGGGGTCAGAAATTGGAGAGCCAAGGCCAAAGATAGGAGGGAATGGATACTAATTCTTGAACAGGCCAAGACCTACCCAGGGTTGTAGAGCCAAAGATGATGATGATTTATGATAATCGATAAAAAATATTTTGTTATATTGAGCAAATTATTGTTTAATTGCAATAAATTTTTGTTAGATTTAAAAGGAAACCAATAACAATAACTTATGATTCTGTTGTAGGAACAATAATAAGCAATCTTATAAGTGGGACATTAATTAATGCTACAGGAACTTGGACATCTGTTTTTTACGTATTTGGAGGAGCGGGGATTATATGGTATATATTTTGGCAGATATTCTGCTATTCGGATCCAGTTAGTCATCCGTTTATTACAACACAGGAATTTAGATACCTAAGATATACATTGGGTAATTTCTTTTACCGTATTTATTTTAATTTTCGTTCGCTAAAAATAGATGATATCCTAATGGAACATAATTTTTTTTTATTATTATTGAGTTAATGCCTCGACAACTAAGATCATTGGCATGGTACTGTCAGGTACCTAGTGTAGTGTGTATGTGTGTGTGTGTGTGTGTGTGTGTGTGTGTGTGTGTGTGTATGTGTGTATGTGTGTATGTGTGTAGAGTAATTGTCTTGATACTTAGCAAAGTCGACGTCATTGTCTTTGCTAAGAGACTCTAATTGTATCCGAACGTCTGCGGTCCCTCCGGTGAGTACCGATCGCACAAGGATAGAAATTATTTTCATTTATTAATTTTTAATAAACGAAAATTTCTCCACCCAGATGAGATTCGAACTCACGACCTTTAGTTTTAAAGGTAGGCGCTCTTACCACTGAGCCACAGAGGGGGTTCCTAATGGAACATAATTGATAATTTTTAGATTTCAATTTTTACTTTTTTTATTTTATTAACTGCATTAACTAGTGAGAGTTATTAGCGGGTGTACAACATGAAGCATATTTATAGTTCTCTCAATAATTCCTTCCAGAAAATTGTTTTACCACCGCCATTGATTTTTCGCTGTGGAATTATTTATATACTGCTGTTATATTGTATTATTGTTATTGTATTATTGGTTATTGTTTAACCAAGGGTTAAATGAAGCCCAACAACTAGCCCAGGACAGAGAAGGATGGAGAGAAATCTCGAAGAAACTGTGAAGGCCTAATGGTGTCACCACATCCCAAAAGGGATTAGGGCTGAGGAGGAGGAGGTTATATTGTATGTAATAACACAGTTTTCGACATTGTGGTCACGTATATAAATTAACTATTACTAACTTTGCCCGTCGAGTAACTCCCGCCTCGAAGTGTGAAGACAACATAAAACGATTCACACAGCTGTGAGTGACGTCAGTTTAGGGCAGAAACGATAGAGATTAGAAGTGTTTATAATCGTTGTAAACTTTTTAAAGTATTCAAATTTAAAAAATTTTTAATACATTACTTTAATTATGATGTTATCTTTAAAAGAGCTAAAAAATAATAAAGCTCCAGGACACGACGGTATAATTGCCGAGATCTTGAAAACAAGCAAGACATTAACAATCCCTGTACTAACAGAGCTATTTAATAGATGAGAAGAGAAAATTTAAAATATAAAACGGTTTTATTAGGCTGGTGTCATTTTTCTGGAAACCATAATTCAGAAAACATCGCTTTTAAAATTAGTGAAATTATTAATCAGTGGGGTCTAAAACAAAAAGTAAATTTTGCAGTAACTGATAATGCCGTTTTGTACCTACAAATGGATAAAATAAAAAAGTCGACATTTCGACAAAAAACCTATTTCAAAAAAAGTACCTTATCTTCAGAAACGCTTTTACAGTATCAATTATCACATAACAAAGTTCCCAAACGACCAATCCAAGACGTGGAAACTAGGTGAAACTTCACCTATTATATGTTAAAAAGAATGACCAAGTTGGAAGAGGCAATCCGTTTCACATTGGTCTTAGTTAATACAGACTTGCCAAATCTAAATAATGAAGACTGTATTATCTGTTCTCAACTTTTCCAAAGTTTACGGTCTTTTAAAGAAATAATAAGTACAATAAGTGGCCAAAAATACTTGAAAGGTAGTTTAGTGATTGTTATGATACGTTGCCTGCAAGAATCTTACAATAAAGTTTTAGAAAACGGTAACCTTACATCCATAGTATCCGACGTAGTACAATTACTAAAATCGGGTTTAGCAAAAAGATTTAAAGATATAGAACGGAGTGGCACATTGTTATTATGTATATTTATGGACTCACGATTTAAAGTGCAGGGATTTTCTGATGAAAATGAAGCTAAAAAAACAAAAGAATGAGTTAAAAATACTTTTATAAATAAAGAAAAAGAAGATTGTACTACTGAAAATCAACCGGTACAAGAAAAATAAACCGATAAAGATGACTTAAGTCCATAGTGTATTTTTGATCGATTAATTGTACATGACTCATCTAAACGTACACCTGTATGAGAGCTATAAAAGGTGTCGACATGTATATGTCTGATGATTTATTACCCAAAAAAAATTCGAACGAAGATTGGATCTGTCCATTACAGTGGTGGAAAAACCATCGCCATGTATATCCTAACTTAAAAACTATATTTATAAAGGATTGTAATGGTGAATACATGTTCAAAATCTGGTTTAATTTTAAATATAAAAAGAACACAGTTAACAAGAGGTAAAGTGGAAAAACATGTTTTTAAAATGTCAATTTAGACGATTCGCGATTTAATAATAACGTGTAATGTAAAGGTAAGTATGATTTACTATTTGTATTGTTTAGTTTATTTTTCAAGTTATAATAAATATACCCTTCATTAGTTTCTTTTACTTTAATACATATACACATAAATGATAATAGCCAATATGTTTGTTTATGTACTCACTTATTTGAAACTACTGTTAAACAACCAAGTAGTTACTTATTTACGAAAAACGGTTCAGTTTAGTTAACGATAAAATCGTCAACGACCCACCAACGTCAACGTTACCACAATATTAAAACCAAAGTGTTCTTACTTTGACCACTAGACGATGGGAGACGCGACGTTAAAAAATAATTTTGTATGAATTTTTTTTATTGTGGCGTCATAATGCAGTTTATTATGTTTAATGGGAATAGTGCACAATGTGACGTTAAAATAAGCTTATTTTGATGTTTAGATTTCCAATTCAGAAATAGTACTTAAAATAGGAAACATTAATAAATTTTATTTATATAAAACGATTTCCGAAGTCAAAATCAAAATGTTCAATTACTCTTATTGTAAAGTAAAATTGTGGCATATTCCCAATAAAAACAGTACGCTGCCATTTAAATAAATTTGCCCAAATTTGATTATCTTAGTACATTGTTCAAATGCTAAAAAGACAACGGGTCAAATAAAACCAATAAAGTTTGGCAACGTCGAACTTCCCCTTTTTTATTTATTCCCCTTTATTTCCACTAATGCATTTTCGGCGATGTAAAGGGCGGACCTAATATACCTCTCCCTTTTTAAACAGGTGTTTCTCACTACATCTCACGTAAAGTCCATATCGACCATAAACTTTTACCTATACTGTATATAATATATATATATATATATATATATATATATATATATATATATATATATATATATTTGTTTTCAGAATCTATATCAATGGAATCACATAGTATACCATGGAGATCTATTTTAACCTCAGTACCAGTATGGGCGCTGGTAATTGCTCAAGTTGGCCACGACTGGGGCTTTTATACTATGATAACAGATCTACCATCCTACATGAGCGACGTGTTAAAGTTTAATGTGAAAGACAACGGAATTTGGAATTCAATACCATATCTTTTTATGTGGTTATGTTCTATGGGTTCGGGATGGATTTGCGATTGGTTAATTTCCTCGACACGCATGACGGTGACACAGGCTCGTAAATTTTTTACCACAATAGGTAAGATAGTAAAATTAAATCCGTTAAAAATATTTTTCCATTATTTTTGCAATTGGATGTAGTACTATAACAGGCGACTGTCAGACAAACAACTTGTAGTATTACTCTCTTAATATAATAATATATCGATAACATATAGAATCAAAGGATTTGCTAGAATTCTTGAATATGTTGAAAGTTTTACCGAATATTTAACGTACACAAAGTATATTTAAAAAAACTAAATTTTACATAAATAAAAGAAAAAAAAAATTGGCTATAATTCCTCCCAATACCGTCTTTGTGGAGGTATATTCCATGACGTGCGATTGATTGTAATGTGAAAGTTTTGAATTCTGCGTTTTTTCGAAATATTTTAAATGCTTCATACTTGTTGCGAAAAAAAATCAAAATTTCATATTATAAGTAATATATAGTAAACTCTTAAATATTGGGAACATCTGCAAGAACGACACTAATGAGTATCAATAATTGTTTCGCCGAAAGTTTTCGCCAAAGAGAATTAATTTGGTTTCTTCAGGGCTGAAAGACAAAAAATTATAATTCGCTACCATATCTATTAAAAAACACTGTTGATCTTACCATAACTTAGAATTGTAGAGTTAGAATGTTAAAAAACTTAGCTAGTAACAACATAGTGGTGTTTTTTGTTACTATGTGCAAAAAAAGTGTTTTTACGGTCGGAAATCTGCAAAGATTCAATTTCTTTTCTCTCTCTCTCTCTCTCTCTCTCTCTCTTATATATATATATATATATATATATATATATATATATATATATATATATATATATATATATATATATATTTGTGTGTGGTAAATCCATCTACGTCCAAATTGTTTTGAAAAATTCCACAATAATTGAAAATCAATTAAAATAATTTTTGTTCTGAGAAATCTCATCTTTGCTATAAAAAAACTAAATACTTTTATTTTTTACTTAATAAATGACAATTCGGAATGCAATAAAAAAACATATTTTTTTTATTTTCCAATCTTCGGAACCAATGGGTTAACTTGCAGAATAATATCAATTTACAAATTTAATTATCCGTCCATATTGGACATATATTTTTTTCAAACGTTGCAGTTTTTTATCCAAAATTTGACAAACTGTATATTAGAGTCCTAACTAAACTATGTATGTGCGATATTTTTAGACTTTAACTCCTTTTTATCCAGAGTTATCTGTAACTTGGGTGAGTTTTATACTATTGACCTCAAAGATTCGTACTAACTTATGCACAAAGCTTGAATACTCTAATATGTTTGCTTCAAAAGTTATCTCATTGACAGGGAGACGAACAGGCAGACAGACAACAATTTTAAGAAGTAACCATCGGGTCCTTAATAATCCTTAATAATCATTTTTATTTTAAGCTTCTCTGGGACCAGGAATATTTATCATGGCAGCTTCTTATTCCGGTTGTCACCGATATTTTACTGTTGCCATGTTTACAATGGCTATGGGATTTTTAGGACCATTCTATTGTGGTAAAAAAGTGAACGCTCTAGATTTAGCTCCGAATTTTGCAGGGGTACTGATGGCTTTGGTTAATGGAATTGGTGCAATTACTGGAATAATCGCGCCCTATTTAGCAGGAACCTTAACTGAAAATGTAAGTTATTTATTACTAATCTAAGATTGATGCGTTTTACTATATTTTGATCTGTTTTAAATATTTTTAAATCTCTCTCTTAGATCTTTATTTAAAACTTGTTCGCATAAAAAATAATTTAAAACGTGTACACAAATATGTTAAAGAGAAAGTATTACAGCTGTTTAGAATGTCTTATCATCTGTCTTTATCTGTGTTTGATTACATAGTAAGCACATTGGTTTTATACGACTTCTTGCGTTACTGGAATAGGTATAAAGATACTATTGATGTCTCCTCTTATTGGGTAGGATAGGAGAGGAAAAGAAGGTTTAGATGGGAATTTTATAAGTGGTGACGTGGCTATATTAATAATATGAAGTCAATGGAAATGTAAACTTTTTACGAAATGTAGGAACAGATTGAGAGACTAAGTTTCACCTTCACATACCACTTATAGCCACTTATAACCATATAAAAACTAAAAATATTCTAATCAAACGTAAACAATTATTTTGGTTTTAGCATCAAAAATAAAGAAAGGTTAATTAAAAGGTCAACTAAAAGTCGCATAGTTTAAGTTAATTTAGTAAACTTAAAAATTTGTTATTTGGTTAGCAGGATAAATAATATCTAATTTATTATATTTTTGTGTTTTAGCACACGCTGAAAGAATGGAGAACAGTTTTTTGGATTACATTCTTTATATTTTTAATCACAAATATAATATTTTGCATATATGGTAGTGGCGAAGAACAAGTTTGGAATAATGTTGATAACAAAAAAGTTAAAGAAACACATTTGTCTGTAGAAGATACAGCTTTTTTTAATTCTAAAAGAGAAGAAAAAAATATCAATGTATAAAAGTAAATATTTTTGGTTTACACAGACTTATTATTCTTGCCCCCGATTACTTTTACTGTTTACAGTTTTCCTTCTAAGAACTCTTTCCTTTTCAGAACATATTCAATATTTTTCATTCTGCTTGGCAACTTTTTCTCTCTGACGCTCTATTACTATTTTTGAATCGTCCTCATTATCTTTCAAATAGATGCTTATAATAGAGAGCAGGATCGTATTGTTCATGTAAAAATATGCATTGTAAATTTCGCTTGCATATTTTTTTAGTATAAACGCAAATGTAGTAAAATAAAATTCTACGGGGAACCCAACGAAGATTAAAAGTGTTATCATGGTGTATAATCCAAGTTCAATAGGATTGTCAGGGCAGACATTTTGTAGTTCGTAAACACTTGATAGTAAGCGGCTATGTATTTATTTATTTATTTATTAGAACACAAATCGCTACCTTAATTAGCAGACCTTGCAACTCCAAAATAGTAAATTTTATAGGACACAATAAAAACTTTATTTATATTAGCAGTCATATTTTTTGTTTGAAATATATCAAATATATATTTGTATCCTTTAACTCAAATAGCCAATTGTAATTTTTTTTTATTTTATTGTTTTTTTTACGGAGTTAAGAGTTTTGCACACACACTATATCGGAGATAACTGATTTTCCAACATTTATTTGTTAAAATGGAAAAAAGAGTGATTCAGAAAACAAGTATTTTTTTAAGTTTATTAATACAAAAATATATTTTTAATCCAACAAATTTTAATTAAAGTTATAATACTACATAAAAAACATAAATTTTACACACTACAGTTAAAGTTTAACACCAACAAGGTGTTTAATCGTAAGGAATCGCAGCATAAAAGGGACGAAAATCGTGTTCCAAAATGGATGTTAAGGCTTATCCTCGAAAATTCTAACGGTAAATTTCAGTTTGCTATCTCTATTTCAAAAATTTCTTTCTTTACGAAAACAAAATCTGTTCATGAAGTAGTATTCTAAACTTCGTTTAGATCTCTTTCAAGCCCAGGTCAAAAATGCGTTTACCTTTTACTCGAGCCGATTATACACCGAGACAACCCCTGCAGTGACAGGTTTTGGCTTACAATAAGACCATAAATCTCTTTAGTGGTATTTTGAGTAAATATAATAACAGATCAACGTAATATAATCTATTCATAAATTTACAATGTAACAAATGTACATACATAATTTATTTGTTATTTTTTTACGGAAAAATTGGCTGTCTGAAGTTTAACGTAGATTAAAATTTACGGAAAATTAAAATTATAAAAAGAGATTATTATTATATATCATAAAAATTTGATTAGTATCACGATCATTAAAATTGATAAAATGAAACAATATAAATATAGAATTATGTCTAATGTTTCTTCAGAAGGTGTTTCAAATAAAAATTATAATAAAAATCTTATCTAATTAGTTTCACGATCATTAAAATTGATAAAATGAAACTATATAAATATAGAATTATGTCTAATGTTTCTTCAGAAGTGTTTCAAATAAAAATTATAATAAAAATCTTGAAATTTTTGTAGCATATTTTCCCACAGTTCCATATATTTATCAATATTTTCGAATAAAATATTTTTTGGGGTCCATACCGCAAACTACACTGGATAGTAATAGAAATCAGTTCTTTTTAAAATTTCTTGAAGGAAGGAATAATTTAGTCACGCTATCATTTCCAATTTTGATTTTTGATATTGAATTTGATAGGTTGTGATTTATTACACCAAAATCTAATAAAATATACCATGACACAAGAAATCGTTTCAGAATAAGTTTGATATGTTGTTTATTATCATTCAGTAAGAGACTAATTTACTTCTTACAATGCTAATCTAACAGACAATTATTATTGTCAAATGAAAGAAATAAGATAATTTACTTTTGTGCTTGTGGTTAGTAAACGTCGGCCCTATGCAACTAATTGTCAACAAAGAACGGAGTACAAAAGTTTAGATTTATGAGGAGCATTTATGAAACTTAGATGTATACTGAGTACTTATTTCAAAATTTACAACTAAGGATTTAATTTGTTATATGTAAATATACTCCTAGATCTAGAGAAAATGGGAGTGCGACAATGGGAATTACTGGCACAGGACCGACAAACATGGAAGGCAATAGTAACCGCGGCAAAGACTTACGAAGAGTTGTAGCGCCATTGATGATGATGAGGATGATGATGATGAAATATGCTGTATAACTATTTATATGGATGTTAAATATGGATCATGAAGGATAATATGATGGACATTTTGACATTTTAGGATGTACGTTGAAAAATTAAGACAAATATCGAGCACAAATTTAATAATCAAATCTTGCCCAAATACTTTCGCTTTCTACAGCATCATCAGGGGAATCTGAAATAGGTCAAGAAAAGTTTATTTAAATGAAGAAAATTAATAAACTTCGATAAAAAACTCGAAGTTAATGGATGATAAAAGTTTTTTGTGATTAACATTTTAGACTTACTTCGTCAAATTAGGTCTATCGAGCAAGCGCAGATGCCCCTGATAATGCTGTAGAAAGCGAAAGTACTTGGGAAAGATTTGACTATTAAATTTGTGCTCGAAATTTGCCTTCATTTTTTAAAGTTCATTTATTCGAGCATTCAACCTTATATCAATAATTTAGGATGTGACTCAGGTATATGATAAAGTATAACAAAGACGCCATAACTATAAACTAAGACTACATTTACCAAAACGATACTCTCAAATAATTGACTCCTTCATCTTGGAAAGATATTTCAGAATTAAACAGGAAGAAACATACATGGAATTGACAGATATTACAGCAGGGCTGCCACAAAGAAGTGTCTTTACCTTTTGTATACGTGTTATATTATTGTCCTAGAAAATATACAAGTGCAACATTTACCGAAGATATTGCTATCATAGCAATATGCAAAACTAGCGAGGAAGCGACAAAGAAATTACACAGATATTAATCAAATATATACTCCAGGGAAATAAGCAAAAAATAGACCATGTTCGTGACACTCAATAATCCAGGTCGCTGACAACTTTTTTAGTTATTGTAGACCTCTAGGAAGAAAACCTACTTCTTTTTTTGCCTTGAATTTGGAGCTGTTTTTTAATTATTGACAATTTAATGCAAAAAACGCGACTGTTTCTATGATTATTGATACTAGTATTAAAAAAATAGATTTTTGGAAGAAAATTGTTTTGCACGAATTGTTTAAACAAACTAGACTATTTATTAATTAATTAATATATAAACAAATTACTAATTCCTAATGTACGTAGAAATTACATACAAATTAAAAATAGATCATACAAAATAAAAAAATAAGAATGATCAAAATCCATTGAGTAGATCCGGAGATATAGAAAATTTTATTAGTTTGAAATTGCTTGTTCGGTTTGGATTTGTAGGTTCTTCCTAGTCACCATTTGAACTACATTTTTGAAAATTCGTAGAGGGTCCTGTAAAGGTACAATGTTTGTGCAAATTTTTTAACAAAAAATACAAATCCCATTTCTTAACATGGCAAAAAATGAGGTTCCTCAATTATTATAATCAAATTAGCTGTGAATTATCATCTTTTTTTTGACTTGATCTACTACTTGTTGTAATTGGTCGTAAAACACGTCCCTTGTTGTTTGAGGCTTATTATTTTCTAGGCCGTATACTCCGATAATGTTCAGGTTTTCCTTCTCCATTCTTATCTTTGATGTTACTATTCTTTCTGATATGTATTGACACTCTTTGATGTAATTTTGATACCTTTGGTGTATTAGTAAGGCTACACCTTCTTTGGCCCTGTTTTCTTTTGCTACTCCACTGTAGATTAGTATGTATTCATCCTAATTCACCTAATTTTGATTGACCTTTTCCTTTATTTTTTGTTTGTTGTAGAGCACAAATGTCTATTTCTTTCTCTTTTAACACTTGGGTTATTTCTTGGTCCCTTGAGTTGAGTGATCTGATATTCCAAGTAATTCTCATCTGGGTTTTGGATGTTTTTCGCTTGTCCTTATTTCTTACCGTAGTCGTCTTCATAGTATCAATCCGGTTCCGAGACTGTACATTGTTTCTTTGAGCAGTATTTGATTTTACGATTGGTAGGTTGCTAACGAATAAATATAAATAATTAAATTTCATATTCAAATACTGCAAATTTGGTTATTACTCTGAGCTCATGTAAAGAAGAAAAGAAAATAATAATTCTGATTGAAATACAAAAAAAATGTACTGGATGATTGACCAAAACTCTACGCTGTTTCTATATAATAAATTATTATTATATAAGCAAATACTGAAACAATTGTATTATTATAAAAACAGTATAAATATTTAGAAAGAAAATGGAAAATCAACAGAAAATATTTCTATTCATATAAAAATTTAATAAAATTATAGGTACTTACTGCTTATTTATATAACATTTCCTATTTTAAATACAATAAACACACCGGTTTGTCAAAAGTCGGAATAAGCCCTAATAATGTTATTCAACTTTATTTATCCTCCTCCGAGGGTTTTACCTACCTGGCGAGAAACCAGAAGCTACCGACAAGGACACCCTGTGCTGACCTAGAGAAAATTGCGTTTAGCAAAAATTTGAAATTTTTTAAAAGTTTATATCAAATAGCTGCTTTGTGTTACACTTTATGTTAAAAATAAAAACAGATTCGGAAAGTGGGTCAAATTCTGTAGTGCCCTATTTAAAAAAAAATTTTTTTCGTTTATTTTAACCAAAAATATTTGAAAAAAAAATATTGTTTAAACAATTTATTAATTTACAACCAAATAGTCCACTAGAACTTTTTTAGACCTTCCATATAAAAAAAGAATCATCTCAATATCTGCCATAGTTTTTGCGTTATTTGATATAAACTTTTACATTGGAATTTACCTATGCCCAGAATCGCGAGGATCGGCCTTAAGGATTGTAAATCAAGATACTTCCGATATTTAATCGATAGTCTTTTGGTGTAAAGAC